AGCTTTACTGAAATGTTACAAAATGTTTGGATAAGAAGAGTGAGAGAAGATAAATGAAAGGACACTAATTCATCTGTAATTTACTGTTGGTAAGCCCGGCAGTAAAGAGACATTGGTCAATTGCTCTGACCCTGATGAATTTATAAACTGAGATCATTGTTGTTGATGCTTGCAGATGTTAACTGGAAAAGTGATATATGCATAAACCCTTTCTTCCTGGATTTGGCAGATATGTATAATTATATTAAAATGGTTCTAGCACAACACTGGGTCCAGTTGAATTGTATACCATTATTTATAAGGGAGAAGTCTTTTCTTCCTAAAACATGTTTTTCTTAGGCCAGAGAGCAGACTTTGTTTTTAAATTTTGGGGGATCTAATCTAAGGATGAAGTAGAAATGAATGACTGTGGTATGTAAAGTGTTGGTGACTTTCATCAGGATTGCTCTGAAATTGAATAGAGAGAGACCAGCAATCATTAGGATCCTGTCTCCTTGCTTTTCCCTCCCTGCTGCAAACCCTGATTTCGTAGGCATTTTATTAGTATGTTTTAACATGAATCAACTTTTTAAGCAAGAAGGGAGGAACTGTAGGACCTCAGATAAAATGAGAATGAAAAGAATTCTGTGTTTTTATTCTCTTATTTGATTAAGGGGACTTTATTTTAGCTTCCAAAAAAAAAAAAAAATCTGAGGTAAACATGAGTGAATGTAATCAGAATCTGAAAGCAATCCAGGCAGAAATGATTTCTGAACAAAGGAGTTTCAGAAAAGTTTTAAAACCTATAATTTGAGTAGTTGAACATAAGGCATTCTGGTCATTTTTTTTTTTTTAAGTGTTGAGGGAGAAGAAAAATAGGTCCCTTCTCAGTTCTATCTGCATTTTGTAGGCCAATCACCAGAGAAGACAAATGGGCTAATGATCCTGGTACCCCTGAGGTCAAAGTAATATTTAATCTCATTTGAAACTGTTTATGTTCTTTAAGTTTGACCAAAAGTAAGTGACTCTTGATTGTAACTATTTAAATGAAGGTTAGCAGTTGCAACCATTTTGTTTCCTGGCTATTGATTTTTTTCTGTCCCTGGGTGGGCATGCTCTCTTGAACCCTACATCATCTTGCCTAATTGTTTTTGTTCTGCTAAAAAAAAAAAAAAAAAAAGCAATCATTCACACCTAATCCTAGAGGCAAAACTTGGTGGCAAGATTTCCCAGCACCTACTATAACATCCACCCCACTGTAGATGATAGCGAAGTGAAATCAGGGCGGAGAGAGGATTTGCTTTCTAGTTTCCCAGGTTTGGGGTCCTTTGCTCCCAGCTCTCATGCAGCAAGTAGTCAAGCAGATCCAAAATAACTTCTCACACAGCCTGTTTTCAGGATGCTCCACAAAGCGTCAGGAGTCAGGAAGGTCATTCTGTCTTTTTTAAAAACAACGAGGCTACTCTGCAAATAATGCAGTTAGGTTAGCAGTTTCTCTCCAGATACTTTTTGGTTTTTTTTTAGGACGAGTTCGGGAAAAGGCGCTAAGTACCCTCTGAAACGAATTTTTTCATCACCTTTGCACAACTTTGTTTTAACAGGCCACTCAGTTAAGTCCCTTCCAGTCGACTAAGTAGAGATGAATTGCACCCCTCC